TTATATTTATATATACGAGCTATGGCTGCTAACCAAAAGGTCGGCAGTTTGAATCCACCAGCTGCTTCTTGGAAACGTTATGGGGCAGTTCTACTCTGTCCTAATGGGTTGCTGTATGTATATATACAGGCCCTGCATACTAAATTCATCCTATCTTCCAAGACTAGGCAAAGTTTTAGTACTTGAAATGATCTCTGGGTCATTTAATTGGGAACAGTTAATCATAACCAGATACTTAAAAGAAGACTTACAGGCTTGATTACTTTTAGGAATATTTTTCTAGTTTAGATTGGACTTTGTAAGCTTCTTTGTGATATTATTTTATAGCAGTTCTGTGATATAATGGCCACATATAAGCTATAGAACCTAAAGTTGAATTAATAAGTACCTGGAGTATCAATTCTCAACTTTTTTGGACTATCAAACTAATCAAGATAATGGTTACTATCATAATTGCACTAACCATCCCTGCTTGCTACTAAAACAAAAAACTGAAACATGTATCTTAGAGAAATACAAAGCTAGGATGGTCTAGAATAGTATTAGACAAAGGCTTAATACCCTAACTACTTTCAATAAGAAATTATTGGGAGAATCTAGTGATACAATTCATATAAAGCACTTTGGAGAACATAAAATGCTCTATAGATATGTGACGGGACTTGGGGGTGGACTGTCATGGCAGAGAAGAGTTCATGGGAGCTGACAGGTGAGAAGAAGCATAACATATGAAGAACAGTACCGAGACCGAACAAACAGGGTATGAGTTGTGGGGGGTTGTTGCATGGTTGTCCTGGAGTTAGACTGGAGAAGACCTTGGGATACTTCACAAAGATTCGTATGGCAATTGTATGTATCATGGATTGGAGCATTAAAAAACTTTCACGTTAATGGAATCACTGTTTTTGATCCTGTACATGTAAAAGTTATCATAACACATTAGATATTCATACTTAAAACAAAAGCTCAGTGATACCTCAGCCAAGAAATCCTTGCAGAAGGGAATGCATCTCTTCTCTAAGTTGGCTGTGTAGTGCTTTTTATTTTTTTAAACTTCATAAATCATGGGAAGCTGTGTTGGCAGTAGGATATAACTCAACAGCAGACAGATTGCTATTTGCTGCTTTCTTTTAAGAAGCAGGTTATAAAACTGTTGGGAGTCTGGTAGAGTAGTTAATAGATCATCTTAAGCAATTTGAAGTAATTTTTTTTTTTTTTTTAAATACAGCATTGCATTTTGAAAGTCAGAGCTAGAGGAGAAAGAGTTTAGTGACTGAGGAATCAGCATGGCCTCTAGGTCCACTGCCCTGGAGCTTCTCCTGTGTGCATTTGCAATACTGGTGGCCAGTCTCCAGCCTCCATGGGAGAGCCACCCCCCATTAAATCCCACAGCGGGGTGCAGGTGCTCAGCATGCTGCAAGTTCTATTCAATACAGAGTTAGCATTATGACACATTCTTACTTCAAATGATTCTGTACTTCCATCCCAAAATACTTTCCCTAACCCCCATTAGTACACTTTGGTAACAAAGCTTCGGTTGCTGGAGCGTGATGCTGGAATCGCTCTTCATTCAGACAGAGTCAGATGGTGAACAATATAAGAACCCTATTCATAGGTAGGCTGGAGGACCCTCGCAGACCATGAGGTTGCTGGGCTAAAGTGTCATAGCATTTTAGTGGCTGACCTGGAGTCCCTGCCTGATGTGGGAGTAGTTTAGATCAGCAGATGACTATCACTTGAAAGTGATGAAGAGCCTTCTATTACTGGCTGCCTTTTCATCTCTGGACATTGTCCCAGAAGCTCTTGTCTTACAGCCTTGTTGGCTGTGGCTTATAATAGGCCTCCCATGCCAATGTCATGGTGCCAGAGTAACCAGACACCTGAAGGATCTTCTCTCTTTTTGATAAATGTAAGATATTTTTAAATGAATCAAGAAATGTAACGTGGTTAAAAGTTTGTCTTGTAATCTTGGGTTTTAGACGAAACTCATGACGTCACTTCTAAAGCTTAACTCTTACTTTTTTTTCAGACCACTAAGGCTTTTCTTCCTACAATGCTGGAGATTAATCATGGTCACATTGTGACAGTTGCAAGCTCCTTGGGATTGTTCAGTACTGCTGGAGTTGAGGTTTGTCAGATATAAAGCATTTCCTTCGTTCTCTTGGTTATCTTGTGATGAATACACCAGAATCCTAAGAAGAGTACAGTTCGTGAAAGTCCATGAAAACCCTCTACCTGTATGCTGTTCCACAGTCACATAGGGTGGAAGATTGTACCCACTGACAGCTGTCGGAATGGAATCCTACCTCTCCTGCTATATAATCACTTATACTAGTTCGACAACGGAGCAGCAGCAAAGACGTAGAGGGGCCAGCCCTCAGTATGGCCCGTTTTCATTAACAGTTTCTCTGGATGATGCCGGAGGCACAGGGTCAAGAATGAAACCGTGGAGGGCAGTGGCGGTGCTGTGGATAGCAGATAAATGAGGCCAAAGGTTGACATTCTGTTTTGGTTAAGCTCACTAAAAGTGAGCTCTCTTGTGTTAGCTCATCAGATGAGACGGCTGTCGCAAATGGGAGGCATCCCAGACTCTTAAGTTTGTTGAAATGAATCTCTTAAAGGAACTGGGTTTAATCGAACTCTGTTCTTCACCATATTCAAGTTATAGAGCCTATGTGTGTTCATAGTTCTGTGCTGTTTGCATAAAATAGAAACCATCGCTTCATGCAATAGACAGCTTCTCCATTCAGGAGATTTATATTTCCATTCCTAAATTTAAAGTTGGATAATGGAGAAGAACCTCTATACCATGTGTCCTGTGATTAAGTTCTAGTTTAAGTTTACGAGGTGTAGTTATCATTTTCATTTTTACTTCACTGTGAAAAGAACGTCAGGTCCTAACAACTTAGAACCTAAGCTAGCTTGCCTTTGTTCGTCTAGCTTTAATTTAAACAAACTGGTTTTTCAGTCTGCTTTACTGAACAAGAGCCCATTTGTAAATTTTCCAGACACTTCAAAGTGAGCCTTTCTCCATTTTTAACTTCAGCTTGTTGGCTTTCATAGAAGCCTTTGTGGTAACTTCCCTAAAGTAATATGATCCTTAGTTGATGTGGCAAAAAAGCGTTCATCTGTTTCTGCCGTTGCTTTGAAAATATTATTTCTGCACTGAACCACATCAGCTCTCAGTCTGTTAAAATGGTTGCCTTTTCTTTGCTTAGTCACCTGTAACTTTTTGTATCAAACACCTAACCAGAGCAATGGGGGGGCTTCATTTTAGTCGGGGTTTGTGCACACACTCAGCGTTTCTGTTCTCTCTCCTCTGACTCAGGATTACTGTGCCAGTAAATTTGGAGTTGTGGGTTTTCATGAATCTCTGAGCCATGAGCTGAAGGCTGCTGAAAAGGACGGCATTAAAACAACGTTGGTTTGCCCTTACCTTGTAGACACCGGCATGTTCAGAGGCTGCCGAATCAGGTCAGTAAGAACCTATCCTAACTTCTGAGAAAAAGCTGTTGTAAAAATCATCTTTCCTTATCTGGAGAATTAGATCTTCACACACAGTCTTGGATTTTAACATTGAACGATTAACTAAAGTTTCTGTTGGTCAAGGTTTGTAAAATTGAGAAGTATAAGATTGACAAGTGGGGGACTGATGCCATGCTGATATTTTTTTAAAATCTTTTTTGTTGTGAAAATATAAATAACACAACATTTGCCGGTCCAGCATTTTTCACGTGTGCAGTTCAGCACTATCCCTTACGTTGATTATGTTGTGCCACGCTGATGTTCACCTACTCAAGTTAATCTAGAAGCACCAGGTAAGAAATGGCTTCTCCACACGTCCCAGGAGAAAAAAAGTAAATGCACAGGATTTTTCTTAAAAACTACTTCTTTAGGAGTTATTTTGTTTCTGCAATATTAAAAAAAAAAAAAAAAAAAAACACCGAAACCCATTGCCATCAAGTCGATCCCATCTCATAGTGGCCCTACAGGACAGGGTAGAACTGCCCCATAGGGTTTCCAAGGCTGTAAATCTTTGCAGGAGCAGACTGCCACAGCTTTCTCCCAAGGAGCAACTGGTGGATTCGAGCGGCTGACCTTTGGGTTAACAGCCAAGCGCTTAACTGCTGCACCACCAGGACTCCTTTCTGCAGTATTAAAACCCATTGCCATCGAGTCGATTCCGACTCATAGGACGCTACAGGACAGAGTAGAACTGCCCCATATAGTTTCCAATGAGCAACTGGTGGATTCAAACTGCTGACCTTGTGGTTAGCAGCCAAGTTCTTAACCAGTGCGCCACCAGGGCTCCGATTCTGCAGGATAAGTGGTGGTAAAAAGGGCTCCAGGAGAATTTACCTTAATGTGGCTGGTTCTCACGGTCACAGAGGAGTAAGGAGACTTTCTTCTAAAAGCCCTTTGAATGTTACACTCCAGATTTGGAAACTTCCTTTTTGCGGAGAGTGTATGTAGCTAGATTCACACCGACAGAACAAGAAGAACTGTCTGGGTTTACTAAAAATGAAATCAAATACCCACACACTTTGAAAGGAGGCATATGGGAATATAAACGTCAGGTTACATCTGACCTGAGCTGAGCCGAATAAATAAAACCCTGAATCATTAAGAGGCCACTTGTGAGAGCTGCTTACTTTGAGATTTTTGCTTGGATGAATTTGAAAGGCAAAGAAAGATAACTAACCCAGTTCCCTGGAGGCTTAGGGGCCATTCTTAACAAACATTGAACCTGAACAAGCAGTGAAGTAGGTGGAGGGTGACTTATTGCCTCCATCCTTAAAATGGAAGCATTGCAGTTGAGTAATTGCAATCTCACACTGACTCCGAGTCAGGACTGGGGGATCGACTGGCGCTCTGCCTCTTTGCCCTTGCGTGTGCGGGAGTGGGGTGGGGTGTGTTGGGGGAAGGACGAGTAGGTTTGGTTTGATGTTTTCCTCTCAAGTAGTTACAGGCCGGTTACTGAGGGTCTGGAGGAGCTCTGTTTTCTGTCTAGCAAAATGGCAGGTACAGGTGTCTGAGGCTGTGGTGGGACGACGGAAAGGGAAGGGAATGAACAGTATTGTTAGATTATTTCAGCATATAACTGAATGAACTGAACTGAAGGTCGGATGTCTATATGCACACATTTCAGAGCCCCCGGCAGCTTTCCCTGGTCAGGAATTCTAGGAAGCATAGACCTGACTGTTATTTCACTCCGGAAGGCTATGCCAGTGTTGATGCGTTATTTCACTCCGGAAGGCTATGCCAGTGTTGATGATTGTTGTTTTAACTACGTTTAATGCTGAAAGCTTGGCACCTTGTCTGGGTTTAGTTTTTGTCATGCCTAACACCCTCTACTTTTTCTGTTGAAAGGAAAAAAGAAAAAATCTGAAATGCATTTTAGGGCATTATAAGAGTATGAGTTTCGCATCTTCAGGAAATGCAGACCAGTTTTGCTTTTTTTTTTTTAAATTTATTTTCCAGATTATGCAAATAAAATATGTTCATAGTAGGAAATTTTGAAAGATACAGAAAAGTACAATGAAGAAAATAAAACGTGCCCATGATCTTTTCACTCAGATAACCTCACTATTAATGGTTTTTGATACGAATGTTCACTTCCTTGTTTTGGGGTAATTCTTACTTGAGTTTTTGGAATATATAACTTTCAGGAAAGAAATCGAGCCTTTCTTGCCGCCTCTGAAACCTGATTACTGCGTGAAGCAGGCTATGCAGGCCATCCTCACCGACCAGCCCATGATCTGCACCCCGCGGCTCATGTACATCGTGACCTTCATGAAGAGGTACGTTTGAGGGGTTCCCTGGTGGGCCAGGTCTCTCCACCCTGCCCCCTGACGTCCTAGTATGAGACTTCTCGTCCACTAACGCTCGTGACTTTGCTCTTTCAGCATCCTTCCTTTTGAAGCGGTTGTGTGCATGTATCGGTTCCTAGGAGCGGACAAGTGCATGTACCCCTTTATTGCTCAGAGGAAGCAAGCCACAAACAATAATGAAGCCAAAAATGGAATCTAAGAAATCTTTTTGTACAGAATATCATTTGTATCAGAAGACGATCAAAATGTTTCGATCCGATGCACGTCAGCATTACTGACATCGTCTGGAATCTATACCCGTGTTGAATTTTTTTTTTTTTTAAATCAACTTTTTAAAAAAATAAAGTGTGAATTAACTGAATAGAGTACTGGGAAAATGTGATCAACAAAAATGAAGTTAGGTTGTTGCCGGTGGGGTCCTTTTGGAGAGACATGAACTTTGTGCTGTCTTCAGACTATCATTATTTTTTTTAATGACCAGAAAGTCTAGAGATAATAACTACAGTGTGTTTCCTGCGTGTCGTTTTTCATCATTCCCAAAGACTTTATTAATCTTATAACTAAACTCCAGCCAGTTGACATCCTTGCAACTTCAAGGACTAATAGTGCTATATTTTCTCATGTTTCCTGTTTTGCAAAACCTGTGTGGCTTTTTCATGGTATTTGTATGTTCAGCTCTGTTAAAAAGGAATTTCTAAATCTCCATCAATTCGAGGTAAATGACGTTCGAGTTTTATACTAAGAGTAATCAGGTCTCTTTCGTAAGGTCGTAGTAAGTAAAGCATTAGCCAAATCTTCAGTTTTATCTCTGAAATATTTCATTAAGGGTCTATTACTCTGGAGACCTAGTTATCCAAAAAGACCATGTATTTTCTACCTGTGAATTTTGCTGCATACAGAAAGTGCCCTTTCCTCAGGAAATTGCTGTGTTTCACTTGTTTGGATGGACTCTTATCTGGCATACATAGCAGCTCCACCAAGAAACAGTTACTAAAAATGGGACCTTCTACCTAGAAAAGTCCCTTTTTTTGTGCCAACAATGATTAGTGAGGGGGAAAATCGTATCCTATGGAGTATGTATGGAAGGGTGTAAAGATTCTTTTGAAAGTTTATTCACATTGTAGAACAGCAAATGAGATTTTTACAGTATTTTTTTGTAAAGCAAACTATTTTGTGCCTTGAATTTGGTATATGTGTATTAGTGAAACATTGTAAAAGTGAACTTCTACCTCTGTATCTAAATGTATACCATCCACTTGTAAATTACTATAAACTATTATGTGATTGCTTTTTTTTTTTTTTTTTTTAGAATGTCTTGTTTAAATAGTGACCGATGTTTAAGGCTATTAAAATAAGCCAACTTTTACTAATTAATTGGGAAGTTTTATAAAGGACTGATTAAATTTAAAGAATTAACTTACATACAACTGACTGGGTGATGATTAGTTATCAGCACTGTTGTAAGGAAAGTCATCGTGGGCTTTGTTTCTGCCTTTTTTGTGCTCTCCTGCCTTAAAGAAAGATGTTTGAATGGGATAGCATTTGGGAATAGACACTAACAACTTAGGGTGCCATACACGCAAATTTCCAGTGTTCCCCTCTACTTAGATTACATATGATCATGGGCTTATTTATACTGAAAGTGGAAAAACAGGAAGAATCCTGTTAGCTTCGTGGCTGCACCACAGATCAAATCTCTGCACTGTAGCCATGCAGGCGAGGTTCTGGCATGCTGCTAAAACCAGTTGCCATCAAGTCGAATCAGTTCCAACTCATGGTGACCCCATGTGTGTCAAAGTAGGCCTCCCGTAGGGTTTTTACTGACTGATTTGTCAGAGATAGATCACCAGGCCTTTCTTCCGAAGTGCCTCTGGATATTCTCAAACCTGCAGCCTTTCAGTTAGCAGCCGAGTGCATTAACTATTTGCGCCACCCAGGGACAGGCTTGCTGCTAGTGTCCCCCAATGCTGGTCTTAAGGAATAGCTTCATCATATGTTTGAATTTCTCTTCATGAGTAATAAGCAAACCTGAGGCCGTAATAGCAGTCGAGGCATTAGTCACCTCTTAATGTTCAATTACGGATTTAAACAAGGACTTGAAGTAGTCTCATAACCATGTGGAGTGGGAACAGGTATTTTCAGAGGCTGTCCAGGTCTGCTTTCCAGTTAACCTGGAGCAAACTGAAGCCATCCCAGATAGATCTGTTCTAACTTGATGTCCCATTTATCTACCTTCAGACTAAGGGAAAGCATCTTTACATTTAACTGTATTCACATGTGTTGCTATTGAAACCTATTTCTATTTTTGTTTGTTATTGCCCTTAGGAGGTTGTCCATCTCTAAGTTTAATAAACCTAATTCACTTACCATTGTTGGTAGAAGTCTTTAATTCCCATGTCCTTGCCCAGTTTAATTACTTCTGTGGTTCTCCCTTGAATGTTGTCCAAATTCTCTTTCCCATCTTTGGCCAAGGAGTTTGGAAGAGGAAACAGTTAATGCAAGTTGAGGGCTGCAGGATCCCGCGTGTTGTATTTCTTCATCCCAGTATCATGTTCTTAGGCTACATTACTGATTGTTATTCTTTTTTCCCTAAACGTGAACTCTCCTAGTCTAGCCTGCATACTTGTGTTAATCACTTACATAATTGCCAAGGTCACTTTTCTTGCTTATTGTTCATCTACACTACCCCCATCGCCATCTTGACATTAATGCTGTCTTTGAATATGTTCTCTTTTCTGTCACCCTAGCCCATTCATGCCAGTGTTCAGGGCCACTGGGCTCAAGGCTGAGCCCCTACGGAGCACCACCTCTGTCCCCCAGTTAGTACTAGCCCCCTCTCTCTCTAACCTTTCATCCAGTTTAATGATAATTATATTGAGTGGGACCCAGGAATCAAAAGTTTCAAAGCCAGGCAGAGATAAATTCCTGCTGTTGTTTCCCCCTTGATCTACCAGGTCTGCTGCCCTGTCACAGAAGATTAGATTAGCTTGACAGGATTGAACAGAAAGCCAGGCTGGTTTTTTGTTTGTGTGTGTGTGTGTTTTAACAGTATCCTATTTCCTTCGCTTTAAAATTTTTCCCAAGTTTAAAAAAAAAAAAAAGTCATGTCTTTTTCAAAGTTTTCCAACTGGCAGAAATAAGACTAAATTGACATTGACCTGCATCTTGAAAATTTGCTTTGCCTTCAACAAAATACAAAATCAGTGGGGGTTGAGGGCAGGAGGGTAGTTCTTCCCGTCCTAAACTTATTGCCTGTGTCTGATTAAAAAGAAGTAGGGAAAGCAAGGCTGCAGTGGCCCAGAGCAGCTGGGAGACAGTGCCAGGAAGCATCTAGTTCAGCCTTCACGCTCATTCCATCCAGCAAGTACACTGGGCATCTCCTGGGCTCTATACCAGCGACTCAAGTAGCCTGCACTTAACTCACAAGTACACGTATCTACTTTTATGTGCACACACCAAAAGAGAAGCCTCAGTGTGATGAGGTCTCAGCAAGGTAGGGAGCGAGGAGGGGAGAGATGGCAGTTGACAGAAGGTTGGTGATGCAACAGGTGGAGATGGGATGGGAGCCTGGTCGTTGCAGGGAATGATTTATCAGGAATGGCATAGAGGCTGAAAACGGAAGATTGTACTCCTGGTGGCTGAGACGTAGCCCATGCAAACAGAATGGCATGCGTTCCCAAAGAAGACCCCACCTGGAAGCTCGCCTTTATTCCCGGATGAGGAATGGGTGCTTCATTTGACAGAGAAGAGGGAAGCCCTAGAAAGATTTTTAGCAGGATAATGGCATCAGCAAAGTTGTGAATTAATAGAATCAATTAGCTTGCTGTCAGGGATTTCCAGGAAGTGGGAGATCAGTTAGGATGGAAGTTATTGGAGTAGCCCAGCTGGATGGTGATAAAGACCAGCAAGAGAGCCGCAGCCATGAGAATGGAAAGGAAGAGGTGGGTTTGAGAGTTTTGGTGGGGAACCTATAAGGCTCAACAACTGATTGCACAGGGATTGAAAGACTGAAGACTGGAGAAGCCAAGATGAGCCAGGCTGTCATCAGTGAGAGCAGAAGAGTGAATCTGATTTTAGAAATGCTGCATTTAAGATGCCAGGTGGCCGTGACTGGCAGGCAGGTGGGCTTCTGGCTCTGGACCTCAGGAAGGAGGTTGGTGCTGTTATTCCAGAGTCATCTGCATAGAAGTTGGGGATGAGAAGAAGCCCAGGGATAAAATCTTGGAGAACATGAGGCGGGCAGCAGGAGGAGGAGAATTCGTAAAAGGTGACTTTGGGGCAAAGTTAGGAGGAGAACTTCCTCATCCCAAGGAGAAACCAGACTAGAAACAATTATCTCCTCTGCCTGGACCTAATCCCCAGGCTGAGTCACACATAAACCTCAGTCTGGCCCAAGAAACAGTCTGTGTGGCCAGGCCAGGGGCAGAGGCCCCGAAGGTGAAGCGCAGTGTTAACAGATAGCACATGGAGTCTTCTGCTGCGCTCTCGGGTTTCTAGTAACTGAATCCATTGTTAAAACGACTGAAGGAAAATTTCTTCCCAAGTGAAACCTGGAAACTGTTGTTCTTTGGCAATTTTGTTTGCTTGGCCTCAAACGCGTGACTTGCTTAAATGCGCCGGCAAAGTTTCATGAGAACTCTGGGGAAAAACAAAATGCATTTCAAGTATCACCAAACGGATACATGTTATTTCAAATGAACCTTTTTTATGTGCCAAGAAGATGGGACAGGACCAGCTTCTATCAGTCTGCATGACCAGACGGGCTCCTATCTGTTTCCCGAGAGTCACTAAGCTCTCGGCTGCCAAGAACGAACCGCTCAGGAGCAAGTGCATAGGTCAAGATTCCTGCCCACTGCCCTTCCCCGCCCTCCTAGGAAATGTCAAGGCGGAGGAGGAGGGGCGAGTGACCAAATCCCAGGTACTGTCTATTATGCCTCTTCCTGGGGCTTACAGCTCCCACATTACACTAGCTATTTCAGAGTAGTCACACATTTGCACAACGACCCCTCTGTTAAATGGATTGAATTGTGTCCCTGCAAAAATGTGTTGTAAATCCTAACCCCTATAACTGTGGTTCTAATCGCATTTGAGAAAGAGTTTCCTTTGTTATGTTCATAAGACAGCATTAGCGTAGGGTGTGTTTTATTTCAATCTCTTCTGAGATATAAAAGAGGTTAAACAAAGAAGCGATAAGCAGAAAGAGGGGAAGAGAGATGCTAAGCCGCATGAGAATCGCCCAGCAGTAGAAGCTCAAAGAGACAAGGACCTTCCTCTAGAGTTGACAGAGAGAAAGCCTTCCCCTAGAGCCAGCACCCTGAATTCGGGCTTACAGCCTCCTAAACTGTGGGAAAATGTTCTGTTTGGTAAAGCCACCCACAAGTGGTATTTCAGTTATAGCAGCACTGGATAACCAGGATCCCCTCCCTACGGGAAAGCACTGAAATCGTGTGGCAGGTAATCTAGAATCCTGCTCACGGAGTAATTAGTTCTCATTTAACCTGCTCCCTTTCTTTAGAGAATTTACACAATGTTTTCCAGAAGCTCCTGACAAACTCTTCAGCAGTACTGTTGAAACCTTTCTTACCTCTAGCCAGAAGAAAGAGAACGGATTAGCAAGAAAAACAAAGCGTCTTCATCCCAGATTCTAAGGCTGAGGCATTCCTGTCAAGGTGATTTAAGCCATGCTGCAGGGAGAGATGTGTATGCATAACAGCCATGAAGAATGCCCCCTTGCCTTGCCCACACGTCCTGGGTGGTCCACCTGGACGCCACTCGCCGGCCTCCCCCGCTCGGTGTGGGCGGGAGAGCCCCCCACCCAATTGCAGCCTCCGCTTGCGCATGCGCTGCCGGCCTCCGGCTCTACCTAGGGCCTGCCTGGGTCCAGGAAGCTAAATGGGCAAGCGGTGGTCTTAGCTCCGCCACAGACACCCAGCACCCTGCAGTCGTGGAGTTCCAGGTGAAGAGCTCAGCTTCTGCTGTCAGACAGCCTGAACACAAACCCAGCTTTGCCCCTCACTTCCGTAAGTCTCAGCCTCCTCACGTGTGAACCAGGAAGGAGAGCAGTACCTATTTCAGGAGTCCTGGATGGGGAGGAGTATATGGGAGGATACGCGTAAAACATTCACTACTGTGCCTACTCTGCACTAAGTGTTCTAGAGGCAGCGTTAGGTTGAATCATATGAAATCGCTGTCACTCAACTGTGTTTGGCCTGCAAAAAAGGCAATTTCATGTGGTTCCCTCCAGCAGTAATGGGGTGGTGGTGATCCTGGTGCCAATACAGATATCCGAGTCCCTGTTTATGATACTGTGTTGCAGTTAGTTATTTGTACATCTGAGGGCAAGGGCCCTGTTTATTCATCTCGGTAGTCCTAGGACTTCACACAGCCTGGCACATAGCAGACGCTCAATAAATGTTGGCCTGAGTGACACTTTGTGCTCTTCAAATCTCACCCGGTGATCATTTCATCTGTGAAATAAAAACCAGTTGCCATCAAGTTGACTCCAACTCAAGGCAACCCATGTGTGTCAGAGTAGAACAGTGCTCTGTAGGGTTTTCAATGGCTGATTTTTCGGAAGTAGATTGCTAGGCCTTTCTTCTGAGGCACTTCTGGGTGTCCTGGAACCTCCAACCTTTGAGTTAACTGTTTGCACCACCCAGGGACTCCGTCTGTGAAATAGGGCTGTGTTAACTTCTGCCTTACCCAGGAAAGGGAGTTTCTCAAGTCTCCTGTCCACTAAAGGATTGTTTTTTGTTTTTCTCCCTGCTCTGTTGCTTCTACAGTAGCTATGAAGCCAAAGGAATTTTCTGTTTACATGCCCTTCCACCCTTTGCTTTGATCCACCTCACCTGTATGCAAAAGGTGACTGAAGACCAGAAAGGTTTGCGAGACACCCCCACAGATGCTGCTGCTGCCAATGCGCAAACAGGGAGAGTCCTCCCAACCCCTCAGAAGAGCCGGCAAGCCTTGGGAAGCTAGGAGAGTTAAAGTTAACAATGTTCTGAGAAGGATAAGCACTGGAGCAGACCTAAGTGGAGAAAACTTTATCTGGCCCCTAGAAACACCATTTTATTCCGGCTTGAAGTGACAATGGAAAGCTTATCCTCTCAGGAGAAAATAAATAAAGTCTCAATTTTCCAGAAGCTGCTGCATTTTATTTTCTATCCCTTTTTTCTGACTTTGGCAATGGCGTGGCATTGTCAGACTTTCTGGGATTTACTGCAGAATGCTGAAGGGTCTTTGCAACATCTCTGGAAGTGGACCAAAGATGCTTTTCTCATGACGGACTCCTGAACCCAAACTGCTGCCCTCAGCATTCCTAAGCAGAGGCCCAGGAGGACTGAGAGCCGGGAAACGCAGAACCTGGC